CCTGAAACAGTTACTCATAAACGATAACTTTTCATGCCTTCTACCCCCGAATGTAAGGGTAATACAAACGAAGCCTGCCCGACTGGCAATGTGGTATTTCTGGACATGTGCCATGTAAGAGTATAGTTCTAATACGAACAAGTTAGATAAAAAAATAATGCTAATTTACCTTGTTAAAGAGATTGAAATCTATTGTACATAAAGAGTGAGATCATAGAAGCCTTCAAAAGTATTATACTTACTGCTTCTTTAATATCCTTTCACGTGTCAAGACCCAAAGGTTTTCAACTCGGAAACAAATTTGAGGTGAAATTCATCTCTCCCGCGGGTCTAAAAAATGCGGACTAGCAAACTAGCAGTTTCAGTGCGGTTACGATTCCTTGTGAGGACACAGTCACGGGCGCCAGGTGAAGCAGAGAGAGGCAGATCGGCCTCGGCCCGCCCCAAGCTCACGCTCAGGAGGACCACTGCCTGCATGCTGCCGTCGTCAAGGCAACGACCTCACTCTGTCCCCAACCATAGGCACAAAGTCTCCAGGGAGAGAGACGGCTCAGGTCAGAATGCGTCCACGGCAGGACCGACACCTGCTAAGGCCGAGGCCGGCAGAGAAATCAGCTGGGGTGGGAGGGCGCGGTCTCCCGGCTCGGAAGGTGCCCAGTCCCTGGACTCGGGAACCCGCTCAGCTCCAGCCAGCCCTGGCGAAGGCGTTGGCCACCCAGCTGCAAGGGGGCGGGTCCTTACCCTGCGCCAAGCACCCCGTGTTCTGACTGGCTGATCCCTGTTGTCAAGAGCCGTGATTGGCTTAGCGCCAACCACCCTTCCCCTTCACCTGGGGCTCCGCCCGGGTTCCGCTCCCTGACGGCGCGGGTGCCAGCATCTGGATACACCTACGTTAAGTAAGGAGACACCTTTCTGCCTTCGCTGGAGACCTCTCTCCGCCGACACGGGCAAGAGGCGATCCCGGTGTTCATGGGGAGGGTAAATGTGGCGGTGGTTTGTAGGACTGGGAGAAAATGGGAGAGGGAGGTCATGCAAAGAGCTCGAGAAAGTGTTCCCTGCAGCTTCCCCGCTGGGCGGGGAGCGGGCCCACGGCGCCCTCACTGGGGAAGGTTCGGTGTGAGAGGTGGGGCCGGTCTGGGCCAGATGCGGGATGAGGGTGTCGGTGAGGTGATGATTAATAGGTGAGGCAAGGTAAAAGTAGGTAGGTGACGACAGCACTTCTATTAGGAGGGACCTTGAGGGTAGCCTGGGCACTGAAAGTGAGGGGAATGGAGATACACGAATGAAATAAAAGGACAAAAGTGAGGAAGGTTGGGGAACGCAGTACTGGCGTATGGCAGCCAAATTGGGTGCAGTTGGGGGGTGGGATCTTTAAGGCACAGACCAACTCAATTCATACATAACCAGGCAACACTGGTAGATCAGAATCATGCACACGCTTAAGTCACACAAGAAACAGGGTTTAGGGGTGTAGGCCATACCTCTGCAGTAAGGACGCCTTCAGCACTCAGTTATTTTCACATTAAGTCATGGAAACTAAACGTTTTATAATATTTGATCTCTATCTTGATTCAGTTAAGTGTGTTCTGGATAGCAGATATTTATACCCAGTCAATATTACAGTATTAATTCCTTTTTGTATGCTAAGAAATAAACATTCTGGTTTATAAATAATCCTTTGAGAGTTTGGTTAGCATGAATTAATTTTTCAGTGCTTGATCACCTTGGTCAAAAGGCTTAAAAACTAGTTCCTGAACCTGTAATATTAAGGACAAGACCTGGGACCTAGGTATGAAAATAATATAAGTATTTGGTCAGTCCAGGATATAAATCTTAATATAGCAATTAGTTCCTTCCTTTGCTGTGACCAAGTTGAAGGGAGCCGTGCCCAATGTTGTTACCTCAGGCTCTAACAGAATCTGATGAACTTTTATATGAGGGGCAGATCACCTTTTATAAAATGGCAAATCCAGGTTTGGGGGGCCTGAAGCTTGACAAGAAGGCAAAAATATTTTGCTTTTGCAACTTTACAAAAATATTCAACAACAAACATTTTAAAGGCTCCTCTAAGCAAGAGGCCCTGAAGCTTAAATCCTACAGGCAATCAAAAGGGTAAACTAAAAATATTGGATTTGGCCCTAACTGGTTTGGCTCACTGGATAGAGCGTTGGCCTGCGGACTTAAGGGTCCCAGGTTTGATTCCAGTCGGGGGCATGTACCTTGGTTGCCAGCACATCCCCAGTAGGGGGTGTGCAGGAGGCAGCTGATTGATATTTCTCTCTCGTCGATGTTTCTCTCTATCCCTCTCCCTTCCTCTCTGTAAAAAATCAATAAAATATATATTTTTAAAAATATTGGATTTGGTGAATAGGTAACAATTGAGAAAACAATTTAAAAAAGAATTGAGTTTAAAGCCAACTGTAAAGGAGACAGGGCATTCAAGAATTACACATCCTAGGTAAAGTCATTTACATGTTTGCGAAAGAGGGGATAGCATTATATAGATGCAAGATTAATTTAAAAAACACAGGGAAATCTTTGTAGTGAAGACGAATGGAGAGAGAGGCATTAAAGAGTGAAGAAAAGGAATAATTGATTAAAAAAAAAAAACTAAGGACAGGTAGTGAAGAGAAAGTAATTAAGTATGAAAAGGGCTTAGCCTTGAAGAGGTTTAGAAAAAAAGGAGTTTAAAGAAAAACTGAGAAAAGTGTTGGACGGACACATTAGCTGGCCTAAATCTTCTCAGGTAAAGAACTTCAGTTTTGCAAAACAGATAATGGTGAGATTAATATGTAATTCTGTGGTTAAGACTTGAGAGCAGAAATTCCTTGAAATAGGTAGTTATGAGAAAACTCATTTTGATATGAAAGGAATTCAAAATAGTAATATGTGCCCACTTGAAACCTACTGACTCTGTTTCAAGGGACTTGGCAGTCCCAAGGACAAGAACGGAGAAAGTAGATGGTAAGTTTCCTCTTAGAGAATTTGCAGCACAGATTAAACAAAGAAGAAATCGAGGATGATGAAGAAAAGCACCACTAAAATGGCTTGCCCTAGGTTCCAGCTAGATTGGAAATTGGTTAATAAACTGAAAATATAGAGGCTTTGAGGAAGTGGAAGCCAGTCATCATAGGCATGAAGAATAAGTTTAATAGGAGAGAAAGCTACTGTCAAAGAAATCAACTTGTCAATTTAAGATCTTAGAAATGGCACTATCTTCATCATCTGGGATTCAGTGCTGTATCTCTGAGGATTACTCAATAAAAGTTGCAACTAACATCAGGAGCAAAATTGGAACCTCCCTTTTGGATTTTGAAAAACAGAAATGTAAAAATATGTAATTCTGTGGTTAAGACATATAATCTCTATGAAGCTGCTGGTCAAGTTTTCTTACCAGGTTTTTAAAGTATAAGAAACTCCTACCTTAGAATGGCAGCAGAGTTCTCAGTAATTGAGGTTATTTTAACCTTCCCCACCAAAAGCTGTGTCAAATCCTCCTGGTGGGTGGCTGCTAGGATTTGGCATGAAAGCTCTAAATGACTAAACAAGCAAATAACAACATGATTCTCTCCCACTCCCACCCTGCTGTAGTTTCCCAATTAACATTTTTGTGTGTTTGCTTGATAAAGTTGTAGCGGGCGGGGAGAGGGGGAAGATCTTAGAAAAGTGAAAATGTTATAAAAATTTAAAGAAAACAGTATGGGAGTGCACGAGGTTAGCAACTAGAGAGGAGAGCTTGAGAGATGTGTTAAAGAATTAAAGGTTAGAAGAGACTAAGGATCATATGGCCCAGTAATTCCACTCCTAGATATATACTGAAGAAAAATGAAAACTTGTTCATATAAAAACTTGTACATGAATGTTCATAGCAGCATTAATATTCATAATAGACAAAAAAAGTGAAACTCAAATGTCCATCAACTGATGAATGGATAAATTGTTATATCCATACAATGGAATACTATTTAGCCATAAAAAGGAATGAAGTACTGATACATGCTACATGGATGAATCTTAAACATTAAGCTAAGTGAAAGAAGGCAGACATAGAAAGCCACATATTATACCATTACATTTATATGGAATGTGTGCAGCACAGGCAAATCCATAGAAACAGAAAGTAGATTACTGGTTACCAGGGACTGAGAGGGAGATGGGAATGAGGAGTGACTACTAATGGGTAAGGAGTTTCTTTTTAGGGTGATGAAAATGTTCTGGAATTAGTGTTATACAACTTTTTAAAGTAAATATACTGAAAGTCACTGAATTTTACACTTTAAAAGGGTGAATTTTATGTATGTGAACTATATCTCAATTAAAAAAAATAGACTACAGGAGGATAAGAAATTTTCAGCCTTCCCAGAAATCTGCCTTTTAAAATAAACGTATGTATTTTGGCTTAGTCCAATTCTCTTACATTAGCAATCATCTCTGTTAAGTGACTTTTGGCAGCAGTCATTTTCTACATATTTTGACATCCCCAATAATGTGCTTGGGTGTTTTGTGCAAAAACAAACTAAGAAAAAACCACCTCTCACTTAGGTCCCATGAGATACCGATTAGTCATGGGTTTTTGGCATCACTTCGAGTCACCAAGTGAATGGAAAGGGCATAAAATCTTCAGACTACAAAAAGTAAGATTGTTTTCAGTATAGTATATGAAGCATGCAGCTATGAATACATTTTACCATTCTATTAAGAAAATGGACTGATTCACTTTAAAGTTCTGGTTCTTTGATGGAAGGACACTTGCCATAGAAAATAGAATTCTGTTCTCAACCTAGTAGTTGATTCAATGACATCATTACTACATTTAAAAGTAATTAAGACAATTGGAATTTGGAAACCTAAAATACAATATACCACTTATTTTGCCAAATTCAACATACACCAACACATCTATAGCAGCGGTTGCCAACCTTTCGGACCTCACGGACCACCAGTGGTCCGTGGACCACTGGTTGGCGATGGCTGATTTATACTATAAGTGTAAACCTTGGAATTCATTTCTTAAATGTTAACAATAGTATACGTTCTGTTTGCACTAGTAACATGCCTCTTTTGAAAAATCTTAACATTCCATCTCTTTCTGGCCTCTATCAGATTCCTCTGTTCATCTTCATAGCAAAACTGCAGAAAAAAAAGGTCTGTTCATTTCTTACCTCCAATTCTCTTGGGCTTTCATCCTTATCACTTCACTGAAATAGTTTTTCCCAAGTCATTATGACCTACATCCTGCCAAAGCCATCTGTAGCAGAGATTGCTAGTTACAATAAGCTAGTTCCTTTTTCCTGTGTGGCTTGTTTCTTTTGTGCGATCACCATTGCAGTTAGGAGTGGCCATGTGACTGAATTCAAGCCACATGGGCACCATTTCCAGTCCTGGTCCATAAAAATCTCCATTCAACATTCTCTATGTTCCTTTTCCCTTTCAGCTAGCTACAGTGGAGATGACTATAGTCTCGGGGAGGAGGGCCAGACCACTGGCCTCTTCATGATCACTTTTCTATTTTTTTATATTAGGGGTAAAAAAAAAAACTATTGTGTCTGAGCCATTAGACATCTTGGGTTCTATTTATTATAGCAATTAGACACCCTAATTAATCCACTACCTCATATGACCTCTCAACAGCATTACTCAACTGCTTATTTCCTTTTGAGATAAACTCTTGAAATTTAGCTTTCCATGACATCAATGTTGTCCTATTTTGTCTTCCTCAATTTTCTTTGCATGCTTCCCCTGTACTAGAACCCTAAATTTTGGGAGGATCTGGGGGCTCAGTCCTGAGCTTCTCCTCTGTACACTCTCTTCTTAGGAAATCTCATCTAATCCCATAGCTGCAGCAAAGACCTATATGGATAACTCATAGCACTGAGCTCTCTTCAGAATTCCAAAATCATACCATGTGACATTCATTCTTGGATCTATAATTGGCATATGAAACTTAACACATTGCGGACCAGTAGTTTTATTGCTAGCTTTATCCAGTGGCCAGATAAGTTTCTATTGAACGAGTACAAAAAACATTTTACATAAATGTTAAAGGCACGCTTTAAAATTAAATACCCATTGCATTTTGGAGTTATTTATTACATGTTCTTACAAGCTAATATCTTTTTAAAGTATGATACTTTGTAAAACACTGTAATACGAAGCGACAATTCTCGTGATCCATCCGCAATGTGTTAAATGGCTAAAAGAAAACTGTTGATTTTCTCGCCACAACCCACTCCTACTTTAAATTCCCAGGAATCCCTTGAATATTATCTTTTCCTCACATTCAAGATCCAGTCCATAAAAGTCTTATAGGTTCTATCTACAAAATAAATCTTATTAGTTAACCATTTATCACCATCTCTTCTACAGCTCTAATCCAAGCCACCTTCACCATTAGCTGACATTTTGACAGGCCGCTCACTAACTCAGATCACATCACTTCCCTGTTCAGATCCCTACAATCCCCGTAAAATCCAAGAGTAAAATCCAAACTACAAGGCCACCCTCAAATTAGCTCTTACCTACCTCTTGATATCATCTGCTTACTGTTATGGCCACACTGGCCTTACTGCCCTTGAATACAACAAACTTTCTAAACAAAGGGGCTCTCCATATGTCCTTTCTTATTTTTGGAACATTCTTCTTCCAGATCTCAGGACTGCCTTCTCTTCCTTTCAGACCTTAAATGTACCTCTTCATAGAGGTCACTCATTACCACCCTCGATAATGATTAAGGAACAACTCCAGTCACTATTACGTTCTCTACCTTCACTAGTTCTACTCATTAGCCATGTGATCTTGGAAAAATAGCTAACCCCATTGTGCTTGAGTTAACCCTTCTGTAAAGCAAGTAATAATCCTCAAAGGATTGCTGTTAGGACTGAGTTGTGTTGTGCCCAGGACTAATCAGAACTAAAAGTAAATACTTATGGAAAGAAGTACTAAAAAAAAAAAATACATATTTCCTGAGAGTAGGCTATACCTGCTGTATTGCCAGCATCATCTAGGAAGGTTTCTGGCTCATATTAGATGCTAATAGTCACTGCATGCTATACAAGTCTTTGCCACCTAGCACATATTTGTTATAGAAGTGCCTGCTTTGAAACATCACTCTGAGTCATTTCTGATGTCATCATTCATTGAAATATCTCTCACATGTTTTCTATGCCGAAGTCACTATCCTCATCACCATCACCATATGCCAGGCAGTTATGGTTTTTATGTCTTCAAGCTTTACTTTAGTTCACCTCTATAAAAAATATAAAAAACTTAGGGTTATCAGATTAGAGGATACAACAGATGTAAAATGACAGGCCCTCAACATTTTTTTTTTCTTTCAGCTTTCAGCTTGGAAACTTAGGTGCAACTTCCTTCGGTCGTACCAAATCCGGGTTCATCTGACACCAGCCACTTCCATGATGCAGCCAAAGTTCTGCCCCAAAGAGATCAAAGTCCTATACCCGAGGTGCACCGGTGGGGAAGTCTGTGCTGTGTCTCCCCTGACCCCCAAGATTGGTCCCCTGGGCCTGTCTCCAAAAAAGGTTGGCTTTGACATCAACAAAGCAACTGGTGCTTGGAAGGATCTGGGGATTACAGTAACTCTGATATTCAGAATGACAGACCCAGATTGAGGTAGTGCCTCTGCCTCTGCCCTGATCATGAAAGCCCTCAAAGAATTGCCGAGACAGAAAGAAGCAAAAAATCATTAAACACAGTGGAAATAATCACTTTTGATGAGATTATCAATATTGCCTGACAGATGCAGCACCAAATTTTAGCTAGAAAACTCTCTGAAACCATTAAAAAGATCCTGGGGGTTGCAATGTTGATGGCTGCCACCCTCATGACATCATATAGATAACATTAGCAGTGGTGCAGTGGGATGCTGAGCTAGTTAAGAACCACAAAGGAAAATGTTTCACTAATGAGGTATATTTAGTGACATTATTCCATTAAAGATTAATGGTGAAAATTATTAAAAGGTTTATGTGTTCAAAAAAATGTTTCAATTAAAGATCATTTGACAACCAAAGAAAACACACATCTATATATATATAAAACCCTAATATGCAAGTAGACCAAACAGTGGAACAATTGAACAACCAGTTGCTATGACATGTGCTCACCAGCAGGGGGCGCGTTCACACGAAACATGGCGGGCGAGGGCAGCAGGAGACAGAGCGCAGAACATGGTGGATATTGGCCACAGCAGGATGGTGGAGCAGGGGCACCAGACCAAGGCGGGGCACCAGTCACTGTCATCGGGGCAAGCCTCTGGTGGTTACTGAAAATTCTTTGCTCCGGTGCACTGCAGCCCCACAGGTGCTCACACCTGCTGCCGGCACCAGAGCCACTGCTCACACCTGCTGCCGGCGCTGGGCCTGTGGGTGTGAGCGGCAGCTGCCAGCCAGATTGCCCCTGAGGGCTTCTCCACCTCCCCATGCTCCTGAGGGGTGATTGGGGCAGCAGCTGCCTCTTGCACCCACTGACAGCGCCAGCCCCAATCGCTCCGTGCCATCAGCTCATGGGAGCAGTGGCAGTGGGAACGGGGCTGCCAGCAGAAAGGTGACCGGGGCCGTGGCAGGAGGGGCCAGGAAGGGGCACGGAGGATGGGCTGAGACCCTGCCACTGTGCCCACCGCAGCCTCACGGCCCACAGTTCCTTTCAAGGTGCATAAATTTGTGCACTGGGCCCCTAATACATATATTTCCACCTAAATTCAGAGACTCACAGTATTTGACAGCTATTTGATTTCTGTTCCAAGTCTCTACTCTGTTTCATTCCTTAACATTGTGCTTCCTGAATGTTATACCTAATTAAGGGATCCTTAATTTTAGTCCTGCTAATGCAGGAGGCTATAATTTTACAATTTTCTAAAATAAAGTCATGATAAAAATGCATTGCACTTAAAGTTTAAATTTCTGAACTTTAAATAACTCATCCTTGAAAGCAGATTGACACTTTTTGCTAATCCAGTATTCCAAATAATTTCATACTAGTGTGACTTATCCTTTCTGAGCCTATCTTTTTGGCGGTAACCTAGGTAACTATACTTACTTTGCCTAAATGTTAAATCAGATGTAAAGCTACCAGCAGTGATTCACAGTATATCCTCAAATATTGTAGAAAATTCATTTTAGAGATAAAAACAAGTATAACTAACTATTTTATTGGTTACACTATTTTCAAGTAGAAGTGTCTGCTTTTCATTGATTTCTGACTTTATGCTATCCAGAAATTGAATCATTCTCAATTCCTTTTAAGATATCTTACATTTAACTGCCAAAAAATAAGCTAAACCTATTTCTCTCCAAGTTTTAAACTATTGCAAGTCTTATCAATTTTCCTGCTTCTATATTTATCCTATCTTCTATAAGGGTATCACTGCCATGCTTAATTCTCTTTAATGGTTTCCTATTGCAATTAGAAGAAAATCCAAATTAACTCCTTATCCTGGCAGATTACATGATGTAGTTCCTCTCTCTCCTATCCCACCTCTTATCATTTTGCCACCCTTTGAGCCAACTCCATCTACCCCAGCTTCTTATCATTCCCTTCCAAGGTTTTCTTATTTTACAGGTTGTTTTACATTAGCTGGTCCTTCTGACTACAGTGCTCCTAAGTTCCATTTCAACTCTAGAATGGGTGACTGAGGAACAGCTTATCACTTCACTGAAATAGTTCCCAAAAGTCATTATGACCTAATTCCGCCACTCAGTTGCTTTTCATTATCTTAACTAGAGGCCTGGTGGATGGATTCGTGCACCTTGAAATTCATTAGAAGGTGGCCGGCAGTGCGGGACTGGGCGAGGAGGGCTGGGCACATTTTGGAGCCGACCTCCCTCCCACACCAGTAGCACTTGGGGCAGTGCCAAGGCTCGAAAGGCATCTGCGGAGTGAGTGGAGTCCCTCCAGCAGGTGGGGTCCCTCGGCCTGGCCTGCAGGGATCGGGCAGAAAACAGTGGTCTGACATCCCCAAGGGTTTCGGAGTGTGAGAGGGCACTCTGCAAAGTTGCTGTTGCTCAGCAGCTCCCGTGTTGTCTACGCCCTGGTGGTCAGTGTGTATCATACCTCCCGGCTGGTTGGCCGGTCGCTTAGCCTTTTTTATATACTAAACCGGCAGTCAGACATCCCTTCCCAATCCAGGACCGCTGGCTCCTAACTGCTCACCTGCCTGCCTGCCTGATCGCCCCTAACCACTCTGCCTGCCTGCCTGCTCGTCCACAACTGCCCCCCCTGCTGCCCTGATCACCCCCAACTGTCCTCTCCTCCTGGCCTGATCACCCCTAACCGACTCTGCCTCAGCCCTGCCACCATGTCTTTGTCTGAAAGGTTTCCTGGTCTAATTAGCATATTCTCCTTTTATTAGTATAGATTCTCTTTAGCATTTACAACTACTTATCTTTGTTATCAAATAAGCTCAGGGAGACCAATGGACTTATTCACTCATGTATGCTCAACATCAACAATGCCTGGCACACAGAGGCACTCAATTAACAATAAAAAGTTAAATTGTTTGTCTTCATTAAGACATTTAACAGTATAATGCAGTGATGGCGAACCTATGACACGCAAACTCATTTTTTTGGTTGATTTTTCTTTGTTAAATGGCATTTAAATATATAAAATAAATATCAAAAATATACATCTTTGTTTTACTATGGTTGCAAATATCAAAAAATTTCTATATGTGACACGGCACCAGAGTTAAGTTAGGGTTTTTTAAAATGCTGACACGCCGAGCTCAAAAGGTTCGCCATCACTGGTATAATGGAAGAAACACACACTTATGCCAAGGTATTTATAGGGTCACCTATGGGTTAGATTGTGTGAGTACAGTCTATTACCTGTGTTTTCCTTAGATTTTTACCACCAAACTACTACCATAACTCCTGTATGATAGCTATTGACTGAAATTTACGATTTACTTAATTCATTACTGAACTTGAATTTTTACTCTGTAGTCAGACATTTCAAAATAAAATTACCTTACCCCCAACCTCTCCCAATTGCTCAGGGGATAAAAACCAACCTGCTTAAGGCCAACAAGACCCTTATTGTTCGGCCCCTTACCTACCTTCTTAAATATGCACATTTACTCTCTCCATAGAGTTAGTCTTTTAGTCTAAAAGCAGGAAAACTTATTTATCATTTGCCAATAGTACCTAGAACAGTGCTTGGCACGTAGCAGCTCAAAAGTTAAATGAATTAGATAAACCAGTAGGAGTTAATCACAATAGCTTGAACAAGTTTTCTTGCACTTTAAAAATGGATAGGAGGGAAGACAAATATATTGAGAAGAAATGAGATTTCAAACATTTCTACGTTAAATAGGTTGAAAAATAGAATTGCTCATCAGAAAGCCAGATATAAGTCACTTATAAAGAGAAAACATTGTTTTGGACTTCCAAATTTTAAATTATCTAGGACTTCAAAAGGGGCTATGGCAAAAATGAGTTTTTAAAAATACGTTTATGAAACACAGGATAGACAGACAGTAGGAATGCAATTGAACTGAAAATACAGTGGGGCCTTGACTTACGAGTGTCCCGACTAACGAGTTTTTCGAGATACGAGCCGACTCTCGGCCGATTTTTTGCTTTGAGTTGCGAGCTAAAGTTCGGGTTACGAGCCAGCTTCAGATACCCCACCACTAGTTGACCCAGCGAACGTCACAGTGAACGCCACAACATCAGCCCAGCATCACGTGTCTCACTCGTTCACTTTGATTTGACATACGAGTAATTTGAGTTACGAGCTCCGTCACGGAATGAATTAAACTCGTAAGTCAAGGCCCCACTGTAGTAACAACTTGCCTAGCCAATGTGGCTGGTGATGCTCAATGGTTGAGTATCAACCCATGAACCAGTAGGTCACAAATTCCCAGTCAGGGCACATGCCCAGGATACAAGCTCAATTCCCAGTTAGGGGGCATGCAGGAGGCAGCTGATCCATGATTCTCTCATCATTGATGTTTCTACCTCTCTCTCCCTCTCCCTTCCAATCTCTGAAATCAATAAAAACATATTTTTAAAAGTTAAACTTAAAAAAAAATAGTAACAACTTACACTTGCTAAAGGCCCACCACTGCATTATTTTAGGTGCTTTATATATTAATGCACTAAATCCTCACAACCACCTACCTCATTTTACAAATGAGGAAACAGAAACAAAGAAAAAGGTTAACCATTGAATGGTGGACTTGTCACTCAAGCCCAGGCTATCTTCTAAGCCAGCGGTCACCAACCGATGGTACACAGACCACTGGTGATCCGTGAGGTCCGCAAGGTTGGCGACTGATGCCTAAGCCCTCCTCTTAAACCATTATATTGTTTAAAATCTACTGAATAGACAACATATTGAAGGGAAGATAGTACCTGGCCAAAATGAAACCACCCAGAGAAAGTTCATGGGGAAAGAGATTGAGCACTGAAGGGATCGGGAGCAGGAATTATTATGGGATAAGAAAACAGAAGCAGTTAAAATATTAATTTCACAAAAGTGAAAGCATTCCAAGTAGGCAGCCAGCTATGTCAAAACTTTAAGAGATCAAAGAGAACAGTTAATTTGGTAATTAATACTAGGGTAGTAGTCTTTGTGATTTCTTAATTCTAAACCTGCATTTATGGTATTTTTGCCCAGTATATATTTGGTAGTGCTAAAAATTGACTATTTCTGCCCAGCCTCGGTGGCTTAGTGGTTGAGTGTCGACCTATGAACCAGATCACAGTTTAATTCTGGTCAGGGCACATGCCAGGCTTACAGGCTCGATCCCCAGTGGGGCACTTGTAAAAGGTAGCCGATCAATGATTCTCTCTCATCACTGATGTTTCTCTCTCTGTCCCCCCTCTACCTTCCCTCTCCCTTCCTCTCTGAAATCAATTAAAAAATAATTTTAAAAATTGACTATTTC